TTTTTATCTCTGTCTAACTGCTATCTGTCGCCAAATTAAATGTCCGGTAAATATCGTATTAACATTGAGTGAAGACCGTATTAATACGAAAGTAGCAGTGACCGAAATATTATGTGTTTTAGTATTGTACTTTCTTAAATGTAATGAATTTCATTTATATAAAGAGCTTCAACTAAAGGATTAAATCTAAATGAGTATATTGACAAAAATGATTTAGAAATCCAAAAACTTAATCATTGACGTAATTAATTGTGTGATAACTTTATTTCATATAACGTAAAATTTTTATATACGGTCTTTGTATAGCAAAACAGTTTATTTTAGTTATTAAAGACAAAAACCGAATTATACGGTCTATCGTGCAAATGAAGTAGGTTCGCATTATTTACTTTTGATATTCGCCGCTAGGAAGAGTAAGCAATGTAAAGAGAAATAATTGGAATATTTTAATTTTTTATTATTTAAATTTAAATAAATGTAATGTACTATTTGTTTTCTTACTTGAATCGGATCTTATGGAACATAGAACCTCTATAATTTTTTGAATCTATTTCTGTTTAGATTGTTTGTAACAATATCATTTAAGTTCTCATTAAAAGCTAATTAATTGTCAAGCACATCAAAAGATTTAGAAAAATATAATTAAGTTGGATTGTATTAATTGTAAAGGATCCGATTAAAATATTAGTTTAATTAAAATATTTACAGGATTTTATGTTAGAATAAGTATTACTTAAATCTGAAAAATGATGGCAGTGAACCGATCCTAAATCGAATCGGTTTCGAACCGAAACCTTTGATTTTTTGGTGTAAATGAACGAAACCACAAGTCGAATCGCTGATGTAAACCCCAGACAAACTAGACCGAGGCAAGTTTTAGAGTATGGAACTACACTACCGAACGTTTTAAAAAAAAATTCAAAATACTCATGTAGATATCAATACTAGTAAGAAAAAATATAACCAACAGTTGTTAAACAAGCTATTTGGCCACCATATTGGCTAACAGCCTTGCTATATCTAAACCAAAAATCATAAGAACTATGATTGCTTATTTGTAAGATCTTATTTATAAATTCCAATACAATGATTATTAAATTGTATTCCCCACATTCTTCATCTGCCTAATTTACCTTATGCTGTTAAAACAATCTGCAGCATCTTTAGCAACCTTACTTAGTCTGCCAGGCATTGCCAATTCAATATGTATTTTTATTTCTTCGGGTATTGATTCAAATCTTTTGCATATCTGTTGTGGATATCTAGTACACATGTCTTGCCCAAGTAAGTTGTTTAAGTTTTGGTTCGGCACGAAGTAAGTAGACGTCTCATCGTTACTTTCAATTTCTCTTAGTCTGTATTCATAGATACTATAGATACAATTACTTTTCATAATTCATAAAAATGTATTATTGTTGCCAATCGAGCAATAAATACGTAGGGCACCCTTTAAAGTGGTATTGCTAATGAATGGTGCCCCAAAATAGTGTGACTTTAGTAATATTTCAAAATGAAAAGAGGTTCCATTGCGGAATAACTGTCCTTCTATATGTGATGCTTTAATGGTGATGAAGAATTCTGATGGTTATTGGTTATATGTGTACGTTCAGGCAATAACAAATGAATTTTTTTGGAATTGGGTAGTGTTTTATTATATATATCAGCCCCTCGATAGACTTTGATTTTATTCCTTAGCTTTTTTGTTAAGGAAATTGTATTTAGAAAATGATTGTATGTGTGGAGAAATTGTTCACTCCATATTCACCTTCCTTCATGAGATATCCTAGCTTTAACCATGATCTCACGGTTCATTAAAAGGAAAATTTGTTGATGTCCGTGATTATCTGAAGAAAAATCACATTCTGCAATATATAATATTGAATTTACAAAGGCGATTGATAATATGGTGAAAATACAATATGTAGGATGACTATTAATAAAGGGTGTCAGAAACTGATAAGTTGAAGCAAATAATCAATAGGTAGGAACAATTGTGAAACCGTGGTATACTCCACATTCAGTGTCATGCCAGCATATGGTAATGATTGGGTTTAAAAAGATAAAACGTAAATAATTTCATTTAATATATTTTATTTTATTTATTTTTGTGTAAATTTATTTTATTTATTTTTTGATTTACCGTTAATGAGTTCAATAATTGAAATTTTACGATTTATGTTTATGTATGGTTTTTTTTTTCACACAAACTAGAATTTATGTAGTTTAAGTTTTGGGATTTTAAGGATTAATTAAACAATTGAATTGATAAAAAAATTTCTTCATTAAAATTTAATTTATATAATAAATATTTTTTAATATGTATCTAAGTTTTTTGCCATTAACTATTTTTAATATTTTATTAATAAAATCACGATTTAAGAATTTTTTACGAATATTTTCTTTCTTCTCTATCAAAGAACTTCGTATTATTTAACAACTATATGGAACCATAGCAGAGTGTGCCGGAAGTTCTCTGGGAAAACAGATATATTGTAAAAGTATGGGCAAATTTATTTTGATTATGTTTTTTTCTTGTTACGTATTATGCTCTATAAATAATCGATTATATTGATGAAATTATATATTTACTCATTTTAGGTTTAATTATTTTTTAACAATTTATAACTACACTAAGAAATTGTATTTATATTTAATATTCATTCATTTCTGCTTAAATTCTATTTATTTATAAAAATAATAGAGTTCGTACATTTATGTCAGTGTTGTGTATGGGTATGGGTTTGTTGTATATCAGCAAGTATTTTGAATAATTTTCCAAATACAGATTGATCAAATAAGCACTATATATTTTTTAAACGTATACCGACGTTTTTTTATATAGATTTTTAACAGAAGATTTGTGTTAATTTTTGGTGGTAAATATCCATGGATGGATATATAGTTAAACAGATATGGCATTTATTACAAAAATTATTAATTCTTTTTTGGATTCGTTTCGGAGAATATGTGGAATTTGTGGTCAAAATACTCGATATGTGCTAATTACTATTCCCGATGTAATTTAAAAATTTGGATAAAATAGAAGTGTTTGTGATGTTAGAGAATCTAACTCATTTAAAAGTAAACTTAAAATATCAACAATCAATGAATTATAGTATGTATGCAAATCGAGAAAAATCAATTAGACGTCATTTTCAAGTAATTGGATTTCATTATAGCAGCAATATATTCCCAGAATATGTATTCTTTATAAAAATTTAAATCTCAAGACGTGTAATGACTCAAGAGTCTTGAATCAAATGACTATTTATTGCGTAAAAATATGCTACATTCGAAATAGTAGCACTTGAAACAGATCTATAATATCTAGGAAAAACATATATAGTTTTATGGTAAAGCCTATTCTTAATAAAATTGATTTGTGAATAATCAAAACTTCAAAAATGTTGCATTTGGGATCAAGAAAATCTACTGAATAAATAACCTTTGTAGTTATAATTATTAGTAACCTTTATATCTAAAGTTTGTTATGGTTTGGGGTCTTCAAATAATAACATTAATTATTTGATATCGACTTAGACGGTAAGTGGTTCTATAAGTTGATGAAACATGATATATATTTCGTCACATAACTAATTTATTGACATAAAAGTTAAATATATATATAGCTTTTATTTGATCAATATTTTTATTATATGTGTGTGTGATTTTTAGAAGTCAATATAATCATATATATAATTCTCAGTTGCTTCAAATTTGAAGTGAGATGTTAATATTATGTTTTTTTTCTTTAATGAACAAAAATAGTGGGTTCGGTTAGGTTATAACGAATATTCTAGGAATTCATTTATGACTAAGAACTCAAACGTTTAAAAACCATCTTGAACCTTTGTCAAAGCTCAAAATGCTTCTTAGAGGAAGGTCATGGAGCTGGCCAAGAACTTTAAAAAGTAAGCCCCTAGCGATTAACATTAGCAAAAAATGATATTATTATGTCTGAGAACTTAAACGTTTAAAAACTACATTGAATCTTTGTCAAAGTTCAAAATGCTTCTTAAAGGAAGGTCATAGAGCTGGTCAAGAACTTTAAAAAAGTAAGGTCCTGGCGATTAACATTAGTAAATTAAAATTAACGATTTAAATGATATATGCACATTGTCAAATTTATCACATTTGCAGAGCATAACTATCGGTGAATATTGTCTCATTACGATCGCGGGTGCATATATCGTTTGTTTTGAACTGGATCATGATCCTAAAAGCAATAAATGGTTTTATTTTGGATCCAATTAAGAATTTGACATGGATGACAAATTCGTCTAAAACAATTAGTAACTTAAGCGCATTTGTAAAACAGGGACGATACGAGTATTAAGTATTATCATACTCTTCCCACTCTTTCAATTTGTAAGCAAAAGAGAATATTGATGAGGTTGTGTTCTTTTGACCTGTATTACATGAAAACCTGTATTTATAATCTTTATTGTTGGGAGTAATATTTTTTTTCTTATTTGACTTTAAAATAAACTAACATATAATAAAAATTTCTGTGTGTGTGTGTGATTACAACAATGTCAAAAATCTGTTTAATATTTTTTTTTGATTTTATACTTAGCTTACTTTTACTATATATGATTATAATAGCATTTCTTTAGTTTTGATTTAATCTATTTAATTTTTATTAATGTTCTGCCTAAAATTGAATTTCGAATTTTGTGATATGTTAGCATTTTTTTTATTAATAATTTTTAAGTATTTCCTTCAGTTTGTGTGTTCAATATGACATTTTTTTTTTTTTTATTGAAATATTCTATATATTTTTTTATTTTTGTATATAAGATAGCATTTTTGCTTATAAGTGATTTAAGATTTAAAAAATTTTTGCTAAGGAAATTTCGTATACAATATTTTTGGTAAGATACGAGATAATAATATTAGTAATGTTTTATGTTTTTTTTTATATAATATTAAATACATATTTACAAAATTCTTTTATATAGAAAAACACATCTATTTGAGTGATGTGTGGTTTGTGCATGATTAGTTTTTCCTTTACACAAATTACAGCTACGAAACATTAATTTTAATTTTTACATCGAATATTGCACGCTTTAATAATTCATTAACTTGGTTAATGTAATTAATAAGGAAAGCAACAGGATATTAAGGATATGTCCATTATGATATGGGTATAAGAGATACTTCTTATGAGTATTCATTTTTATTTCGGGATAATTCCTTTACAACTGCGTTATTTTGATTCCGTTTGGTCTTCTGCCAATTAATAGTAATATTATTTGGATGAAGTAACCAGTTGACTCGTGCTGTAACCTTGTGTATTGCAAGTGGGCAGAGCAAATGGGTTAAAGCTCAAGCTGCTCATTCCTGAAATTATATAAAAGTGAAAATATTATTATTATAATAGTATATTTGTATATACATAATTGTATGGAATTCATAAATAATTTTAATATACAAACAGTATTTTTAAGCTTTATGAACTGATCTGAGAGATGGCGTAGCTATGATTTTTGACGGATTTATTTTAGTCTTAACTAACAGAGCAAATGATGTTAAGACTCTATGAGCTGTCGGGTTTACGTCGCATCTATTCTATCAGAAAAGAAACTTAAAAAAAGCCTGCTTTCAGCATTTTTAAAAGAGTTATAACAACAACAACAATTTATTCTAACATCAGAATATGTAATGAAAAAGAATTTATTGTTGTAGTTCACTTCTTAGAGTTGAAGTATGTTTCCACTGCTTCATTAAAGTAAGTGTAACTGACTAAATAGATTCGTTAAACATATAAAGAGCTTCTGGCTTTTTAACTTACTTTAAAAAAAGTAATAACACTGTAATACACACTGTCTCATTTAGGCGGTTTTGCTCATTACAGTCACTAATGAGAATGATTTAGCATACAAAGTGCTTTTATATAAATGAGCTCATTATCAATAAATCAGCCCATTTAAGGCGTATAATGTCGAATACAACCATTAAAAATAAATTTCCCTCAAGAAAAATCATCAAAATTTGAAATATGTGTTATATGTTTAATATGTAAATTGTAAGCAAACAACAGCTGAGCTGTAAAGAAACGAAGTAAGTATTTAATAAAATCTTTGTTTTTATTAATTGAATATGTAATGGAAATGTTATGTATGTATATATAATGATATTTAATTTTTTGTGCAATATATTATTAAGTGAAATTTATTTAAAAAAACAGAAGCTTTCATTGTAATTTCAAAGAACTTTCTAGCATATAAAATCTCTTTCACATGAAATAAGTAACTTATGTCAATGGAAACGACAAAATCTTAAAGTTACTCAAGTAACTTACTAAGCAAACAGTGGAAATATGGTATTACTCAGATAGTAGTATTGTACACCACTTGAAGGTTTGTGTGGACAAGCTGTTCCGAGATGTAGAGCAGAACATTTTTAGTGTCAAAAGGTCTTTGTCGAGGATAATTGGCTTACCAACTACTGATAATTGAATAATATGTATCAAATAATATATTTGATATATAATATATATTAAATAGTAAAATTATATATATTTTACAGTGCTAGGAATACTTCTGTTATCAGTTTATATAAGTAGGTAATGTTTTTTGATATTTCTCTTAATTTTTTTGATTAATTTTAAGTTAAAGTTGACCGTTTTTAAGATATTAATTTTTATTTGGGTTCTTTTCGATTCATTTATGATATCTTACGTTTTTTTAAATTTAAATTAAGTAAGTTGTTAAAATTTTGGACTGAAGCTATAAAAATAAAATTTCAGCATGATTTCAATTTTGAAAGGTTTGAAATATTAAAAAGAACATTAAAATACTTTGAATATAACATCAAGGTAATTTTATAGAGAGGTTTCCAAAAGTAGTAAACTACAACAATAAAAAATCTTTTTATATTATTTTAATTAATTGATTTTTTTGGCTATCCATGAATTTTTTTGGCTGTTTCGAGTATTGTTAAATACCCATCGTCAGAGGTTTTGGAGGTTACTTGTATTTAATTCCATATTCGTAAATCATTTTCTTAGATTTTTTTTTCTATATTGATTTTATATAATTTTAATTAATGTACAGTATATATAGTTATGTATACTTGAGAGGGATATAACATAAATCCAACCATTTCTTTAGCTACAGCTTTAAATGATTCATCTGATTACTATTATACTATAAAAGTGAATTAAAGAATGGTTTATATCATTGAAAGCTAAGAGAAAAACTGATTGAGAGAACTGTAGTTTGAATATAAGCTCGAAAAAATATATTAATGAATTCTCTCTTCTCAATGTTATTAACAGTACTATAAAACAGGGCTGTGAAATTACTTTGAACTGGAGAGGTTTTAAACCGACCTTATATCAAACTATTATGACTTTGAACTGAATTGCTGATATGAAGGTTAACTAAACTAACCTTTAAACCGAATCAATGGTTCAGAGTATCGAAACACTGAACCAAACATTTTTTGGTTCACAGTCCTTGTATATAAATGATCAGAAGAACTACATATATTTTAAAGTCGGTTTTGTTTTTTCAGAACTTTAACTTTTATTTTTATCGTTGTTTTTAGTATATTTCTATACGTATTTCGGCAATTTCGCTTTTGCCTTCATCAGGAGAATTCCTAATATTATATAGTAAGTTTCAATTATTCAGTTAACATATATTAAATTAATTATAAATAAAATAATATCGGTTTCATGATTATTCTTTGCAGTTACAATTTTTATAATATTTATTTTGCATTTGAAAACAATACAAAAATAATAATAAATAAATATAATGAAATCAATAAAAGTATATTAAAAGGAACAAATTATAAATACCATTTTAATGTGTGGATGGTTGTGTTATATGCGGCTGGAGAGTGCTTCAAATCAATTTCAGGTGAGGCAGATGAATGTTGTGGTTCATACAAAACGGGGCCTCACTCAAAATAACTCAGTTGATTTTCTTTAAGGACATTCTTGAATTTAAACGTTGTTGTTGTTGCCTTTTGGTTATGTTGTTTTTGTGGTTGTTGTTGTCGTTGTATATGTAGTATATGCACAGATAGACTCGAATCGGCATTTAACTTAACGTAACGGAATGGCACACGAGCTTAGACCGCTGCGGTGGCTGCTGATACTGCCGGATTGTGCCATGGTTGATGTGGATGAGGATAATGAGGATGGGTGTGATGGTGTTGTACGAGGGCCTGATGCCACGGCGTCGACACTGTTGAAATTAATGGCGAAAAGGCACTAGCTGAGCATATTTGTTTTACATAATTTTTTTTTTTTTTGATGTTTTTCAATATTTCAAATTTTTGTTTGTATTTTTGTTGTTTAAACGAAAAGTAAATAAAAAACTCAAGAGGAAGGAATATTTATATGTAATACAATATGAAATGAATTAATAAAATTTGTCGATTTTACATGCAAAGAAAAGAATAACAAAATAAAAAAATTCAGTTAATAATAAATTTTAACAAAATAAAATTAAATTGAGAAGTTTATAATGTTAAAAGAAGTCATAGAATTGAACCGGGATCGCGTTAAATGTTTTTTGCGCAGTACTTACTCGAAGTCGAATTAAAAACGCTACTTGGTGAAGATGATAGCGTACCCATATTAGTTGTAGAACCATATCCATTTGCAGCTCCTGTTGTAGCACCATATGAACCACCTGAACTGTGTGGCGTTGAAGCGCTACTACAGTAACCTCCTCGAGGACTAACACTACTTGACTGTGCCCGCTGGTAATCATCTTCGGTCCATTGACCTGAGCCATCCTGTACGCTAACAGCTAACTGACCAGCGTAAGAGTTGAAACCAGTTGAACCACCA